AGGCTTTGAGGTATCTGCTATTTCTTCTCTTCGCTTGTTGCTGTCCCCTCTAAATAATATATTTGAGTATCTGTTTGTAAGTCGTCTGCCTGTGCTTCCTCTCTTAAGGCTTCACTCATTCCTCGTACAGACTTCAATCTTGCTCTTCTATGAATACTACTACTCTCTGTCTATGTCGATGACGGATGAGCGTGCTCCCCTCTTTACAGGTTTCCAAGTTAGGATTTGGCTGTATGGGCCTTACTGGAGTCTATAACGCTCCTGTCCCTGAAGAGGTCGGAATATCCATTATCAAGTATGCGTTCAGTCAAGGGATTACGTTCTTTGATACGTCCGACTTTTATGGAGCCAATACCAACGAAGTTTTGGTAGGAAAGGTGACCGTGATCAATCCTTGCGGCTATTATCCCTGTTTTTACATTGCATGTGTCCTGCTGCGCTAAATCCGGTCTTTGGATTTGTTTAATTTTTAACGTTTTACTGTTGAGTAGGCCATAAAGGAGTTACCCAGAGAAAACATCCAGCTGGCAACGAAGTTTGGTATTACCGCAGATGCAAATTTATCTAATATTCAGATCAAAGGTACGCCAGAATATGTGCGTTCATGTTGTGAAGCCAGCTTGAAAAGGCTTGGTGTGGAATACATTGATCTTTATTATCAGCATAGGGTGGACAAGTCAGTGCCAATAGAGGACACGGTTAGCGATTTCTTCCTCCACAATATCCTGTAAATTTTTGTATTAAAATGGCGTGTTACAGCAGTATACGTTACTCAAGAGTCTGTTGCTGTGTTGCATTATAGGTAGGGGAACTCAAGAAACTGGTGGAAGAAGGAAAAATTAAATATATTGGGTTGTCCGAAGCTAGTCCTGATACAATTAGGAGAGCACACGCGGTTCATCCCATAACAGCTGTGCAAATAGAGTGGTCCCTGTGGACTCGGGACATTGAAGAGGAGATAGTTCCGCTCTGTAGGTTAGTTCTCCACTTTCTGTCTAGGTTCTGAAATCACTACTCTCTCACAACCCTGAGAATTCATTACAATAGCCTAAAGCCTTGAAGCGAATGTTAAGGACCAAAACATATATAGTCACTGATGTGTGCATGTTTGCCTCTCGAACCAATGGCTCTGGTAATGTGAGTTCACTTTCTCGATGGATTTTTCTTGTAGAGAGCTTGGTATTGGAATAGTGCCGTATAGCCCTCTTGGTCGTGGCTTTTTTGGTGGCCGTGGAGTTGTGGAAACCGTGCCTGCAGATAGCTTCCTGGTACAGAATAGAACAATGTTTTGCATTTGCTTTTTAATTCCTAGTTTAGTTGAAACATTAGTTAAGTTGTGTCCTTTTTCCATTAATAAAATATTTTTATTTTATTACTTAGATATGCCATTTAGTTCATTAAGATGGCCAGCGCTATATATTCTTTAAAGAACATTGGTGCAAGTAATAAACCCCGCACTGTTCTCCCACTATTGCTAAATTTAAGCTTTGAAAGAGGAAAACATTTTATTATTCAAGAGCCAAGGCTGTCTGATGGTTACGTTGTTTCACACATTAGAGCTCGCATCCCCGCTTCCAGTCAGAGAATTTGGAGAAGAACAAGAAAATATATGATCGAATAGAAACCGTTGCTAGGAAGCATCAGTGCACTCCTGCTCAGCTAGCATTAGCATGGGTACTCCAACAAGGCAATGACGTTGTGCCTATCCCTGGTGAGTGGCTGGCTCCCTAATGCCTACATTCCTATTTAAACTCGCTACTCTGAATCCGGCAATTAAGGCTTGTTATTTTGTTGTCTGAACAAACCAATATACATGCATCGTGTCTGTCTGTCTGTGGGCGTTCTTGTGTCTTTCTAAAACAAGACAATGTAGTAATGTACTTTATCAATAAAGGTTTCTTTCAAGATTGTTGCTGAAAAAACATGATTCGTAATTGTGCTTAGATCACTCTGCAAGCTTTGAGTTTGAAAAAAAGAAGAAGCATAGTTTCATATTTCATCACGTTGAAATTATATGTCAAATATTTAGCGATCATATCAGTACCGGATGTCCGTATGCTATTAATATTTCAAATATTCAAATTCGTTGTTGCGCCAATTTCTTTTTCGTCCCTTAGTCGAGTTGTTATCTTGATATTTGTCCATCTCTGTTGTATTACATGAATTTTCTGGACCTTTATTTTTCAGGAACAACAAAGATTAAGAACCTAGATCAAAATTTGGGTGCCTTAGCGGTGAAACTTTCAAATGGGGACCTCCAAGAAATTTCTGAGTGTGTCCCCATTGATGAAGTAGCAGGTAATCAATACTTTAAGAGCTGGGACCATTTCAGCTGGAGGTTCGCTAACACGCCCTCGAAAGAG